TGGCTTCACACATGGTGACCAAGGGTGGCGTCCAGGCCTGAGTATGGCTGGGAAAAAAAAAAAAGGGTTAGAGAGGGGAAAACCCAAATCTGTGAGCATAAATAGTAAAAATAAAATATTTCACATCTACAGTAACTCAGTCACACTGATGTCCCTCCCAGCTCTAAGACTCCAGGAAATCATTTCATGCTGTGTCCCTGGAGCTGACCCAAGTCTTACCCCATGCTCCCGCCCCTCCATGAGCAGAGACTTTCACTCTAGTCCATGAAGACAGGGATTCTGGAGAAGTTAGTTTCCCAAAGGCATGTGGCTCTCATTTCTCCTCTGTGCCCAGGCAGCAACTTGGGGGAGGAGCTGGCAGTGTAGTCCACACAGGGCACTCCCTCTGGCGGCGTCAGCCCAGGTGAAAAACATCTCATTGCCCCATCTTCCAGAGCAGTGGTCTCCAAATGTCTCATTCAGAAGTCTTCTGAAAGAATTTCAAAAACCCATGGGCTCCCTTGCTCACTTTTAAGTTAACATTGAACTTTTCCATCAAAATTGTGAATAGTTGCAAAGGATATCATTTTTGGCATGTTATCAATATTAGTATTTTAACATTAGCCATTATATAAGTTTTCAGATGTAGCCTATGGAATAAGGCATCCTAATTTAATGCCATCATCCACTTTAAAAAAAGAAAACAAATATATACATATATATTTGAATACTCTTCTTTAATAGTTGTTGCACATTTACATTGCTTCTTTTTTCCTTGAAATTGTATTTCCATTTTACTTGCCCCACAGAATTTCAGCCTAATGTAATTTTTTTAATGCTCAAAAGTCTTTTATATATCACCTTGTCATATGTATCTGCCACAACATAGTATATAAGTTTGAATTATTTTAAATTTCCTGTGAACATAAAACTCTAAATTAAATTTTCTTCTGGAATGAATTATCACAATAATTATTAGTAGTACCAATTTATAAAAACAACAAAATATATTATATATTAATAAATATTAAACATAAAAGTACAACCAATCTCATTGGGGATGCATCTGGATGACATGGATGTGGCTACCTCGTTTCAATTAGTTAATGAACCCATTAATGAATGTTACCTCCTGCCAGACTGAAACAGGATTCAGCATTAATTCCATTCCTGTTCATCATTTTTTACAGACGAAAAGGTTGAGAAACTATGCTTGCATAAATAAGTAATTGGGACTAGATGTTACCCAATCGCTTGAACTTGTCCACGTAAGAAACGTCCAAACCTGTAGAGAATTTTAATGAGTTTACTTAAGCCAAACTGACGACAATTGCTGGGAAGTAAAATCCCAACAGGTTGAGAAAATGCCCCTGAGAATGGCAGTTTTGCAGCTTATTTTATACATTAGAATCATAGGAGGAGACGGAAGGAGGGTCACATAAAATTCATTGGTGGTAGATTAACGGAACAGGAGAAAGCAAAGCAGGGAAATCTCTGGGATTGGATAAAAAAAATAAAACGGAGAGACGTACTTCCTTTACACTGGTGTGTCCAGGGTAGTTAATAATTAACACTTACAGCACAGAGAGGTGGTATATGGGGGCAACAAGACAACACTGAGGGGTTCTGTGGCCTCCTGCTCTGGTGCAGAGGTTGTGCCCTGAGGGGTCTGGAAAGAAGGCATTACTCTGACGTTCCAAAGGTGTGTTATCTTAGATGCAAAAAGACAATAGACAGGCTCATTTAAGGTAAAGATTGACATCTGTCGAGGAAGCTACAGCCCTACGACCCAACTACCTGCCATAACCCGCTTTTAGTTAAGAATGCTTCTTTTATGTTAAGATCATCCTATACCGTTACTTTCAGTCTCTGAGTGTGCAGAGCCTGCCATGCTGGCCTCCCTGAGCTTGTCAGGTTTAGTGTGTGGCCCCTTTTTCTTCCACAAACTCCTTCCAAGTTATTTGGCAAAACCCATAAGGTGATACTAACAGTGCCTTCCTTCCTCATGAGATGTTGATGAGTAGATGAGAGAGAGCTTAGTGCAGGGCCGGGCACCTGGGGACAGGCTCATGAAGGGCGGCTTCTAGCTTCTTACTGGCCTTGGTGCAAGCAGAGATCCAGGCGTGCTGCAATCTCCCCGTGCTCCCTGCCCAAGCTTCCCCTCTGTGTTTGTCCCCTCTCCCAGAGGAGGGACCCCACCTTCCACGGCGTGCTGACACCTGCTTTCTGTGTTTGGTTTCTGCAGGTGCGGAGATACTGTTCCCCGAAGGTAACCAGCCCCTCGGAGGAGACCCCACACCTGGCTCGTGTATTTATTACCGTCACACTCTCAGTTACCTCCCTGCTGGCACCTGCCCTCTATTTATTAGCCAATTGTATCCCTGCTGAATGACTCCTCCCTCCAAGACGAGGGGCAGGGAGGGACAGGACCCTCAGGAATTCAGTGCCTTAAGCAGAACGTGAGAGAAAGAAGGCAGCCACAGATCTGTGTGTGTTTCAGCTTGGGAAGAAGCAAGACATGTGGCTCTGTGAGGGGCAAGCCAGGCCCCAGAGGCCCTGGGAGTCTCGAAAGGGCTGGAGAGGGAAGAAAAGATTGGGACCCACCGCCTATTCCTAGGCCTTGGGCTCTGGATGGACAAGCAGCCCTTTGGAAGCTCCTGGCTAGGATGGGGGTGAAGGAGCCTGCTCTGGCCATCACGGCCCCTGCTGAGTGGGAAGGCAGGCAGAGGGCTGGAGGTGTCCTTCGGCTTCCTCTTCCTGGCAGCAGCTCTGCACCCAGTAGAGCAGAACACTCGCCTTTGGAGAAGAGTGGTTGCCTGGGGCCTTTGCCACTACTTGTCCCCTAGATCTCTCTTCACATTTTGCCACTGTTAGTGCTGGGACATTGTTCTTTATGGCCAAGGCATCACCATCCTGCCCCTGGCAGGGACACAGGCAAAGAGGACCCCAGGCTGGACATGGAGCAAGCTGCTCTACGCAGCTGTCTGACTGCCAAGCCAGATTCTCTTGAATAAAATATTCTAGTCTGAAAACAGCTTCTCCGAGGGAGTGTGTCTGCCGGAACAGTGGGTAACAGCTGAAAATGGAAGCAAGACAGAAAAAAAGATCATAGGCCCCAAGGCTGCCCTCGGGGTGGCTCCGGCCTCTCCTGCAGCTTCCTGGGGTGTCCTCTTCCCAGCTGCTAAAGGCAAAACCCTGAGGTCCACTTGTCTCACAATGAAGGGTTCCCAAGACGTAGTCTTGGCCTCAAAGTTGGGGAGCCCAGGACCCACCGCCGCTGAACACTCTCAGATTCAAGAGCCCCAATCCCCTTCCCCTCCCCCAGGCCACCCCTCAGTCCGGTGGCCAGCCCTCTAGACTCTCAGTGAATGGGGGCACCCAGGCTCCTCAGGTCCTGGCCCCAGGGAACTGCGCTGCACATCTCCAGCCTGCTCAGGCTGCCGAGTACAGGGGTCTGTGGATGCTGCCTGATTTCTTCTTCCTTTACCTCTCGTCTTCCTCTGCCTGCCTCCTGAAAGCCTTGGCATGAAATGAAAAAATTATGCTTTTTTTTTTTCTTTTTTCAGTCCAAACCACTTACTATCAGACTCCCATCTGCCTCTTACCTGCAAGATGTGATATTTTATTGTTGTATGTGTTGTGGGAAGGGCAGTTCCCAGTTCTCCCACTGCAGGCTGCTTCAGACAAAGCCACAGGGGCCCAGGAGCAGGCCCGCCTAGGGCTTTGCAGGGAAGCCAAGGATAGTCCAGTGGGGTGAGGTGGCCCTGGCCAGTCAACTGCCCTTGGCGGTCAGGAGGACACTGGTGAGAATGTGCTTCTGGCTGGTGATCACAGAGGGGGTGTGGGCCAGCCGTAGAGGACATGATTTGCAGAAGAAATGCACTTTTCTCTCTTGCTTCTCCATTCTTAGACTGTAGCCATTCTGAGCTGTTTTGCTTTTGGTGGACTGAGAGCTGAGAAGAATACCCCTTTCCCTTGGCCAGGCTATGTTTTGGCCCCAGGGACCCCCCCAGCCCAGTCCCAAGGCTCTCAGCTTCATAAGTTGCATAGAACTAGACAGAGACCAGTGGAGCTCCTGAAAGCCAGAAGCAAAAATCGGTACCCAGC